ATCTTCCCCCATCAATTTTCCCAACAAAGTTTGCTGTTTCTCTCCAGCAAGTGTCTATAGATATCCTTATGCCAATTTATTCTTTGTCACAACAGCTAAGCGAGTGCCGATGGTGGCAGAGAAATTGGAGACAAATTAAATTGAAATTAAAATTAAAACCAAAGAAATTAAGGCATTAAATAAAAATTATTGATAGATGCATAAGACCTTGCTGCCCAGGGCCCCCCACCAGCGCAGTACTGGGAGGGCTGCACTCCCCAGCGTAGGCCTGTCTGGGGAGAGTTGGGGTGGGAAGGTTCAGGAGTCCTGAGACCCAGAGCAGCACACGCCGGGTGCCAAGTGTCACCGCAGAGAAGAGAGACATAATTTGTTCTCCATAACCACTAGGGACAGGATAGGAAGAAAAGTGCTTTAAATTGCAGCAGAAAGGATTAAGGCAGACATTAGGGTAAAGGTGCCTGTCTGCAAGGAGAGCCAAGCAGGGAGCTGGCTGCCGGGTCCAGGGTTCCCTCCCTGAGTGGGGTTGTGAACAGGTCTGGCAGATGCATCAGGGATGGCTCAGGCTGAGCTGACCCGCAGGGGAAGAAGGAGGAAACAATCCCACAGAGCGACTCTCAGGACTTTGTGCTGTAGTTGCAGTATTCTATTTTCCAACATAAATGGTCAACTTACACCTTTCATTTAGGTGCTACTATTCTTATTTACCTCAAGCTCTCAATCTCTCATCCTTCTACTTTCTTTCTTGATACACTTATTTGAACAAGCATATTCTTCCTCAAGCTTTTCTTGCTAGGCTAAGCAAAGTATTTTATTCTCATTTTATTGGGTGATGTCTTCAGATCTCATTGTAGTAGCTCTCCTCAACGTGTGCCCCAGTTGGAACGCATTTGACCATGTAGCAGACAACTGGATTTCAAAGCTCTCCAGGTGATGTCCCTACAGTGTTTGGAGAATGGCAAAAATATTTCATTTTTTTCTGCTAAAAATTGTCCTGCATAACAAAGCCCTGCATCACATTTACCTACATGATATTGGTAGCTCGTATTTGTAAGGAAACCAATTAATCCAGGTGACTCATAAAGGACAGGCCACTAATGAAATATTTCATTTTTTTCTGCTAAAAATTGTCTTGCATAACAAAGCCCTGCATCAGATTTACCTACATGATATTGGTAGCTCCTATTTGTAAGGAGACCAGTTACTCCAGGTGACTCATAGTGGACAGGCCACTAATATTTGGGCCCTAAATTGATGTAGTCCTTTTAAAATAAGGGCCACATTCCTCATCTTGTCGTGGGGGTCCTGTCAAAAGCTGTGAGAAGAGAGACTGAATAGCAGAGTCCTAAATTGTGGGATATTTCCTCTTGTAGTGGTGTATCAGATGTTTACTGGAGTCAAAGATAACTGAGAGGTACTGCATTTTCCTCATCTAAAAATCACATTACCTTGTCAAATAGATAGATTAAGTCAGAAGTGCCTCCTTGTCCTTATTTTTTCCTCCACAATTTGCTGTAAAGTTTAGCATATGACTGAGGATGGATTAGTCAACACCACAGATACCTATACCCATGTTTTCTTTTAAAAATACAGTTATGAGGTTCACTTCAAAGCTCTTCAGATCCTTATTTTTTCCTCCACAATTTGCTGTAAAATTTAGCATAAGACTGAGGATGGATTAGTCAGCACCACAGATACCCATACCCATGTTTTCTTTTTAAAATACAGTTATGAGGTTCACCATTCTTCAGTCTGCTGGGATTTTTTTGGTAGTTTCATTAAAAATACCCGTTCTGTATTTATTGTTGGCCTAATGTTCACTTTGTTGTACTATAATCGCATTCACTGCTAGGAATCTCAAACATAACCACACAGCCCAAGTGATCAATTGCATATTGATAATGGAAATAGCAACCTATAAAGTCAGTACTGTTTGCCAGCAATTTGTCCTCAAAGATATATTCCCATGAAGGTCCCAGTTCTGCTGCAGCTGTAAATCATGAGAAGCTCCAGGGTGCAGCAGTGAAAACAGTTTCCATCAGTGAACATCCAAGGCAGAGAGTTTAAACAGTTACAGATTACTGAGTCACTCTGATGGAGACCAACTTCAAGACAAAAATAGTTCAAAATTAACTGGATACATCATTGTAAATAACTAACCAAGAGGTAGATGAGCACATGTGCTGTCAGGTCTGAGTGCTCTTTCCAACTATTAGGCAGTTCAGGCTCCCTGTATCCTCTATACTGCTTTTTAAATTGTCTAATCTCTTAGAGCTGTAACATTAAATACCACCTGCCTATTTATTAGTTTATCTCAAAAAAGTTTGTGAGACATGAATACATTAGCAAAATACAACGAGTTTGGGGTAGCTGTTCCCATGCACACTTTTGCCCTTCAGCAAATATATGTCCGTCACCTCTTTCTCATCAAAGTTAGGATGCCTCCGGTTGTTTTGCGCTTGCTGCTGGGTAAGAAGCTATAGACAAGCAGTCACGGTTTAGTGGCTGAGTTATGTTACCTTCTTACTTGTGAGTTTAACTTCAAAAGCATTTTTAAAGCTCTTTCAGTTTCTCTGTTGGCACATGCTAAAGCAGTGCAAGGGGCTCTTGCTATATAAATCTAAATTCAGGTGTTAGGCAGATGCAAGGAATATAACATCAATTCTTAATTCAAGTAATGAACTAACGGGAATCCAGTTAGGAAACCCTTCTTTCTTCCTTCTGCTAACCTGTAACTAAGGATTGTCTTCTGCTCTGTCTCTTTAGATAAGCTTGTGAAAAAGAACAAAAGCTGATCCAGTTTTCCCTTCATTTTTTAAAAGCTAATGGGAAGTATAGGTTGCACTGGTAGTGAAATTTTCTATTTTCACTTTTCTACAGTTGCTGATATTTCTGTCAAACTCTGACTGTTAGCATTCTTTAGTGATGTAAAGCATTCCCGTAAGTTGAGTCAGGAGCTGGAACAGTATGAAGGGTTTCATTCCCAAATGACAGCAAAGCCATGCTAACTGCAAGCAAGGCAAGCGTAATCCAGTTTCATACCAAAAGAACAATTTTTATTTAGATTTCCTTTGGGTAGTGACAGTAATGAGCGAGTTCCCCAAGTGTAACAGATTGTTGCCTCCCTCATGATGATTTCAGGAAATGGGCTCTAATTGCAGTCATTTAGTGTCATGTAAAACCTCTAGTAAATGAATCTGGGGGAGATGGGTGCAGTCCTCCTCATCTCAGACTGCTATGGTCACAAGCAACGTGCAGATCCTGACAGCCAGCAGTATTAACACCAGTAACCTGCCCGAGGACAGGACCCTGAATTTGGTTGTGCCACCATCGCTGGTGTGGTTGGTGCCTCACCACCAGGAAGTCCAGTCCCCATGCTTGCATCCAATGCTGAGAGTCCTCTGTGCCTATGGTCATCTTGATAATAGCATGATCACACTACTGGAGTCTCTAAATGCAGTCCTTCAGCACTTCTCTCTCCTGATCCCTTTCAGAGGCCACCTCCATTTTAGGGAAATTTTGTCTGAGTGCCAGTGGTTGGCCATCATTATTGTGCTGAATAATGTGCATGCTTCAGCTGAGTCAGAACAAATATATTCTTTAGAAACAAAGAAAGCAGTTCTAAAGGTAACAATGACTACAATGTAGAATGAAAAACATTATTACTGAAGAGGAGCTTTAATGAAAGACCTTGTATACCTTCCATTAAATCACACTAAAAATAGAAATAACTAGGAATGACATGAGTGACAAATTACTTAAAAGTCAATAGCAACATGCTCATGATTCAAAATAAGGCTTGATAGCTTTAATATTTTAAAGTCCAGCTCTATAAGCTGTAGAGGCTAAAATTTTCAGAGATGGGTTTTCATGGATGTGTGTCATAATCCATGTTTGGGGCCATAGGTGGATATGCATCAGTCTGGATGAGTGCTGTGTGTCCCCAGGTCTCAGGGCAGTCATCTGGAGTTAAGGATGCTCAGCACCTCCTCTCCAAGAGCTGCTAAAGAGATGAGTTAGGGAAGATTTAACAGACATGAACTTCCTCCTCCACAAACAACCCGTGAATGCAAAGGAGGGTTTTGTTCTCTTTAGGACGATGCTAAACCTGCATAATATATTAGATTTATGCACTGGAATAACCTTTCAGCTGAAGGAAACCAGAAGTTTGGTTTAGGAGTGGCTAATTAAGCTGACTTCTTCCAGCCTTTAAGTCCCTTGAGAGACATCTTTTCCACAATTATAAGATAATTATTGCAGATGGACAGTTTTCTCTTTTCCAAAGCTGAACTATTAAACAAGTTAAAAATGGAATGGACACTTATACTCTTTATGGAAGTGGTGCTGGAGCTAGATAGTTAAGGTTGAACAGCATTTTGCATATAAGGTAGGCTTTTAGCAGGGGCTTTTGTTTTTGTGGCATGGAATATACTTTCCTCATCAGGGCTATAGCTAGCAGAGGCTTACAAGTAAATCAGAAGATTAATTTAGATACTAAAATGAGCTTTAAAACATGCCTTTAAAGAAATTTACTACTTTGGATCACATATTTTTTGTTCTTAAGATATTTATTAGTTAGACTTCTATCACATTTTAATTAAAGTTCACTTAAATTATTGCACAAGCTATAAGTGAGTGGAAGAATTGTTTCAGTGGTGTTTTTCTCCATTGTGTTTCATAACTGAAAGGTTTTGCCTTAAGCAGAATCTGAGGGAATAACATTTTCTAAGAGAAAAGTGAAGACTTCCCTTATTCTAAATAACACAAAGCAGACAGCTGTTCCCAATTAAGGACATATTGCAAAGCACACTTACCTTCTTTTACTCCCAGTTGAGTGCCGAGTAGAGTTGAATAGTATCTCTTCATTCCCTAGCATCTCAAAGTATTCCTAACTTTAATACTTCCTGGCATAGTGGGTCACCATCTTCCTCAGGAGCAGATTAGGCTCCCTTTCAATGAGCGTGGTGGCTACTGATGGCCATTGTGAGGCAGAGAAGCTGGTAGTGTCCAAGCCACTGGCAGCAGTGGGAGGTAGTGACCACTCCAAGCAGTGAAAGGGGCAGCAACAACAAGCTATGGGTTGTAAAATGCTGTAGTCTTCATGCTTGGAGAGAACAGGGATGTATGGCCCTGCAGGCATGCATGACTTGGGTTACTCTGTGCCAGACTGGCCTAAAACACCCTTGTCGGACACTGGATCTGAAGCAAGGGCTAACAAAGTCCTTTTGCAGTTGGATGTATCCCAGCTTCAAGCCCCTTGAGAAGTTTTGGTTATTCCAGCATTGAGCTGCTGATGCGGAGGCAGCTGGAATGATTGCCTTGGAGGAAACCCAGAAGTGGCCAAGTGTGGAAATGCCCAGCTCTGCCAAGCAGAGACCTCGGCAAGGGGGAAAGTAAAATCTAGTGCCTCTCTAAAATCATTGGAACATAGATGACTCATAAAAAATAAACACGAGGGTATTTAATAATTTCACATCACTTTTGCCTTATACAAGAAATACTCACGACATATCTTTAATGACTTTTCCTAAATTATTATGTGCTCTCAACTCTTATTAAATTTTAATGTTGTTTTCTTCCAATATTATTGCAATCTGCATTAAGAACACAATCCAAATTTTTATAAAATATACAAATAGAAAAGTAATTGTTACCTTTGGGATTTTGATAATGGAAGTGTAATAACTGTTTTCAGGATCCTTTCATAGCTAAGGATGAAGAACCTGGCACTTACAGGCCTTATGATCTCGGAGAGGAAATGGGAGTCTGGGTGAACAACTCCGATGGTGTAACTCCTGCTGTTGGAAAGGTCAGTTTATTAAATTCTCACAGGCATTTGGCCTAGTGCTGCTCCAAAGTGATAAAGCAGCTGTGCAACAGAAATGAGAAGATAACCATGCGTTATACCTGTGCACTCTAGGTCTGGCCCCCCGGAGACTCGGTGTTTCCTGACTACACCAACCCCAAGACAGTGGAATGGTGGACCCAGATGTGTCTGGAGTTTAAGGATGTCCTTGACTATGATGGGATCTGGATTGTACGTCTCATTATATTTGCCCTCCCTTCTTCTAAAAATAGAAAATGAGGCTTTTGACATGTGTCTTACTCTCTTTATTAAAGGATATGAATGAACCATCTAATTTCTTAAGAGGCCAGTATCCTGGATGTGCTGTTAATGATATCAATAACCCTCCTTACATTCCTAGTAAGTAAAATTTCCTTGACAATCTTTTCTTTTTTAATGATGAATAGGCTATTTCTTAGGAAAAAAAATCCATCCTCTATTTTCCATCTTTCCCTGCCTGTTCTGTGTTCAGTTACATATCTGTTCAAGACTCCATTGGCTCAGCTTTGGTGGATTATCAAACATAAGCCACTTCTCTTTGCCACTGGGGGCTGCCTCGTAACACCACTAGAAAAATGGCCGTTCTCTGAGTGACTGGCCTGCATCAGAGAAAGGGCGAGATACCTGTATAAGGTAACTCAGATACAGATTTACAGAAGGAGTAACCCTTTTGCCTTACCACCACCACTGCTAGTCCCAGGGGTGGTCAATCTCTGCCTTTTCCACAAACCAGCACTAGGAAGCTAGCACCTCCCTGATGCCTTAATCAAATCTTCTGTTTCTCTTAGGGAAAAAAATTTCATTGCCTTACTAGAAATGGACTAAAAATAAGTTTTAAAATGCCCAAGCCTATGGGAGACTGATAGAAATGGGAACACCTCTTCCAGTAGCCAAATTAATAACATGCTCATTCTTCCCCAGGAAGCCATGAGTACTTACAATTATTGCCAGTGGTCCTGGCAATTAATCCAACCAACATTTCCCCAGGAAAGCCTGGCTGCCGGAGCAATGCTGATATGTAGCAGGAAGTTGAAACATAAATGAGTTATTGACAGTGAAGTATTTGAAATGTCCCCTTTTCTCCTTCAGGCTGTTGTACTGTCATCTGAATTACTCATTTTATTTATTAAATCTCATTTCTTTTTCCTCCAAATACAAGAGAAACATAAACATAACAAAAGTGTGACAAAATACTATAAAAGATTTAAAATTATTGAAACCAGAAGCAGAGCTTTTAATTATGATTTTGATGTTTGCTCTCTGTGGGGAAGCTGCTGATTGTAACTGTTTTATACTGGCCCTGTGGGTCTTGTCATTGACCAAAGCCCAGGAACTGATGAGACATTTCTACGTTTGTTCTACCTCCATCTTTGTCAGCATTCAGGGCTGCAAAAAAAGGTGAGAGACTTTGGGGAAGATGGCCAAAACAGCAGAGCTCCCTTTACCCTCACAAATAAAGGACTGGGGGATGAACCCATAAAGAGGCTTCTGAGCCATGAGGCTGAGCTTTGTGACAACTAGCATTGAAGGGGGGTTGGACTAGATGACCTTTAAAGGTCCATTCTGACCCAAACCATTCTATGAAGTCTGAGCCATTACAGAGGAGTCAGAGACCCAGATATCTACATGACATGTAAGGACAATGAGGGACACTGAAGACAGGTGTGTTTTGAACCTAGTTTCTCTCTCTGACTTGCTCCTTCTGGTGCATGTATGCACATACTTCTGCTTGTGATTCACAGCATTGGTCTACCTTCTGCAGACTGGAGCCTAAGGCATTTTTTCCAAGATGTAGCAGATCTGTTTTCAAACAGTGTTTAAGGGCTTTCTTTCTTATTTCACCTCATGCCAACACTGTGCATGCCTTCGGCTGTCCAAGCCCTTGACTGGTGTAGGTGTGAGGTGGACCTAAGCTGCTTAGTCCAACAAGACATTAGGATCTTCCTGGGGCTGATAGGGTTTTGGGGCCTCACTGTTGTTGTAGGTGACTGAGTCTGTGCAAGTCCCAGTCTCAGTGCCACAGGCTTTTTGTCAATGTAGCCTTCAGCCTCCTTATCTAAATTAAAACCACAATTACACGTAACCGTGGTTTGAACTTCTAAAAACAGATGTCCTTCAATTCAATTTTCTATAAAACACTTCATGCTGAAGATTAATATGCAATTGTAAAATAATCAGTATTGCTGAGGCAGAATACAAAATACTTAGAATAGGAAGGAAGCATGAAAATATGACTCATGGCAGCATTTTCTTTGATATCCCACCTTAATTTTATAGGGCTAATAATTAAGTGCCACTGGGACATTAAGTGTGACTTCCCCAGAACCTTAGTGTCTCCTTCAAAGCCATATCGGTCAAAGTTACTTGGAAATTGCCTATAAATTAAGTTATTTCTGATGCAGATCAGCCACGGTGGAGTCTTTGTGTCTAAAGATCCAAACACAATGATTCCAGCTGTGGTGGCACAGCAGAGCAGAGCGGTTAATGGGGTTTCAGGTGCGGAGAAATGCACTTTGTAGTAATGAACTGCAAACGTAACAGTAAAGTGCGATTAGGCAGTGAGATTGCTTGCTCACGGAGAAATATTTACACTTGTGCATGCACCTAATTAAGCATGCAAAAAAAGAATAATTGAGAATCTACCTTCTTTCTTTTTTTTAGAGGATTTTGTAACATTTTCAACTCCATCTCTAAAAATAAATGCATTGTATAAACCAAACATCTGACCTCTGCTGAACTTCACATGGCATTTTCATGGAGGTTGCCTGCAGAGGATGAGAATCACATTTTCCGCACCAAATGGGCTTTACCAGCATCTCCTTAATAGGGCATCAAAGACCGGGCAGCACCTGTGCAGCCAGTTTGTGCCTCATACTGCTTCCCTTTGGCTCAGCTAAACCTGTGCAGTGCCAGTGGCATCAGGGCTACCCGTGACTATTACTGAAGGCAAAAATGTACTGCTGCCTCCACTGCCCGTGACCTGCTGATAGAAAGAGTTGCTGGATAATCCATCTTCAGGGGAATATACCCATTATAACCTGTCCTTGCTCTCTTCTGTGGAGCATATCAGGCCGCAGCAGATGACACTCTGCGGACTGCTGCACCTCATGCTTTTTCCTCCCCTGTCCACTTTCAACACTCCCTGCTCATTGCTCACAGTGCTGCTTGGGGCCGTGCTGTTAGTCCTGCTGTCTTTTTGTCCTAGATGGCTCAGGAGAACGGAAGGGCCATACTTGAGCTTAGGTGTGAATTTTGCCATGATAGGGCAAAATTGTGCTGCCTACCTGTACCTGCAGCTGAGAGACACACAAATCAAGGTCTCGTGATTTCCCACAGCCATACAGATTCACTGGGCATCTGAAATTCTAGTTTTGTTTTGTTTTTCTTGCAACATTTTTGCTCTTAAGTAATACTTGTCAATATGTAAAAAAATACGTAAGTGTATTCTTAATTCAGCAATGCAGAGATGTTCTTTCTGCTATTACTTACTGAATATATCTGTACAGGTGTTTTGAATCATCGGACATAAAACTTGAAATTAATTAGCAGTGTTTACTCAGTCCTTTCACTCTCCTGAGGACACACATGCCTGTTTGCAAGCAGGTATTCATGGCTACATGTTAACCTCTAATCAGTGTAGATCTGTCACTTCTTCAGCTTTTCCTCTTCAGAAATCCTTTAGTGTTTTCACCCCTAAATGAGTAGAAATATAAAGATAATTGAATCATGATATATGTAATTTTACAGTTTTTTGTGTAATTCTCAGGCATTTCTGATCGTTCCTTGGCACAAAAGACATTGTGTCCTGACTCCAAAACTTACCTTGGAGAGCATTATAACACACACTCTCTCTTCGGCTGGTCACAGACAGCACCAACTTTCCAGTAAGTTTTTTTAAGTATTTCTAAGCAGATTTCAGGTGATTGAAACACATTTTAAAAGCTGCTGATGTTACCTGTGAAATGTGTAATAATATCTAATAAGAAACAGCCCCATGTTTCATTTTACTGTTTGTCATTTAGTAAGAAGTTTCAAGAAAAGTGAATCTTGGAAGAAGAAACAGAATCTTTTCCAATTTTACTTTTCTTAGCTAAAATCAAGATCTACTTGCAGGGCCTCACTCTTCAGCTGCTGCTTTCGTATAAGTAGAGCAAGATGTTCCTATCCTCCGTTAGAGATGCTCACGTGCAGCTGCTGCAGAATCAGCCTTGTGTGGTGTCAGGGGAATTTTTCCATCCCTTCATCACTGTGGCCCAAGCAGAGGAGTTTCTCTCACTGACAGTGAAGGATCCAAACTGCGTAACTCCCCTGGCAGCTTCTGGAGCTGCCTCTGGTTCCTGGCAGGCAGCATTTTGCATTTTGGCCTGAGGCTCAGTTGGTCCAGGAGGGCAGAGCTGCATTGCAGCACAGTTGCTGTTGACTACTGTAAAACTCATTTTGCAGCTGGGAAGCACTCAAAACTAGATTACGCAGGCAGACTGTGAAGCTGGAGTGACAGTGGAAAGCTGGCTGTTGGATTAAATCAAATGGACAAATCATGCCTTTTCCAGCAGAGATTGAGCTAAAACATGGGTCAGATTAATACCGCAATGTAACTGTCAAAGCAGAGGTCCTTGTGCTGGCTTATTTCAGTATTTAGTGCTCATTTTCAGCAGTTGCACTGAGGCAGCATCCAGAGGACCAGGCTAAGCAAGCCTACTTACGGTGTTGATGCACTTGTATTTTATATGCCAAGCCTGGGGGAAGGGAAACACTGGGTAAGAGCCAGAAGCTGTTTGCCAGCACTTTGAGCCTGGATGAAGAGCAGTCCAGCTTTTGAGGGAAGGAGCAGAAAGCCCTTGAACCCTGCACCTCACTGGCCTCCCAGCCCAGCTAGGACACATGGGACCTAGCATGGCTTTTGGGCCCTTATGCCCCAATGTCAGCAAAGATCCTCCCATCACTGGTATCTCCTCCGGAATCTGTCCTCTGCCCATTGAGGTCCGTGTAACCGTACACTGTCAGAATAGAGACTTTGGATTTGCCTTTCTTCTTGAGCTGTTTTTTAAGTTTTATTCAAGCTCTGTGCCAGCATAGCCAAGTACCTGAGGCAAACCCTGTAAATTTAGCAGGAAAATCTCCATGTGCTAGCACATCTACCCCGGCCTCTTCAGCGTGCATGCTCTCCTGGCCACACTAGCCTGGACCAAAGCCACTGGGACAGTTACTGCTGCCTGGCTCCTTACAGCCTCCCCCAGGGCTATGAACCTTCCCCATTCCTGCAGCGCTTACTTTCAGGGCACCTTCCAAAAGAAACCTATATTTTGCTCGGTGAAATGTGGAGTCCTTCAAGGCTGGAGAACACCACCAAAAGCATAACATAAGCAGAGGTCAGATTTGCTGCAAAACTGGGAAAGTTTGGTGAAGAATTTTTTATACATGTTCATTTGGGTTTCTCAAGCATATTTCTTTTCAAGGCTGGTTGTATACCCTTTCTGCATTTGCTCTTCACAAATAATGTACTAAATTAAATTACTGACAGGAATATTTAGCAAACCGGCATCAATTGTAGGATATTGGCTGAAAATGAATGACAAGTTCATAATAATATATAAAACAATTCTAAGAATTATTCTAAAGCAGCTAGAGAATAGGAAATGTGTCATCTGACCCATATCAAATGTCTTGAATTTGGCTATGTGAACTAGCAGCAATCAGCTTGTGCATAGCTTAACGCCAAGAGTTATTTGCACGTGATACTCTGTAAATGATTTTGATCAACAGATACATTTGACAACATTCAGACCTGTTCAGCAATTGTTCATGATAGATTGACATTTATTTAATAAATTACTTGTTGCAAATTGTTTATGCAGCAGCGGGTCATAGTTGAGTTGGTCTGAAGTTGCCCTCATTAGCACCTTCATTTGCAAATGGAACCAAAGACTTGTGCTGCACAGCTGCAGGAGAGGTTTCATACTCAGGACATCCATAAAACGGCTCCAAAACGCCATTTATCCAAAGCACATGGAGTCTTGTGAAGTTATTGGTCCCAGCAGTGCACCTACAACCCAGAACCATCGGGTTCTACATGGTTCAAGAATTGCAACTCTTGCTGCATATGGCCCATATGGTGAATATGTTTAGGACTGAATGAAAACTGTTGTGTTTTTTGCTTCAGAAATAAATGTTGAAACATTTTAAAGGCTCTATGCTATTACCGAACCAATACCGACTATTTGGCCATTACAAATATGGATGAAAGAGTTCTTGACCAAATCTCATTAAAGGAAGGAAGAAGGAGGTGGATGGTGATCAACATGATTAATATTTCATTCTAGGATTTCCCAGAGAATCTAAGTTGTGTTGCCCAAATCATATTAAAGCGGAGTTGAATTTGAATTCCTGCAATATATAATAATGCAATATGTAATTATGTACAGAGATTATCCCGTGTTGATTAATTTTGTAACAGATTTGTTAATAAGACATATTGCACTTCCTTGATTTTTCTGGTGATGCTGCAAAACTATTTTCAAAAGGCAAGGGAAAATTCATTACACCACTAATTCTGTAATGAAACCTCATATATCAAACAATGACAGGAAACTAGAAGAAATACTGCAAGGATGGAATGATGTTTTGACTTATTATATTTTTGCTTTCTATATTTATTTTTTTTTTAAGATGTTCAGATACTGTTTTGATTTTTTTTTGACTTTTAATTCCAGGATACTAGAACTTTATTTGCCAACACAAATTTCTAAATAAATCCTATGTTGAAAAAATATGTATTACACTGGGTTTTTTTTAATCACACGACCCTTTTGGTTGCCATCCTTATTTTTAATGATCTTGTTGCATTTCTTTGCAGTGTTGTCCAGCAGGCAACTGGAAAGCGAGCGTTTGTCTTGAGTCGGTCTACATTTGTTGGCAGTGGTAAACATGGGGGTCACTGGCTGGGTGACAACTTCTCTCAATGGAAGGACATGCACTTGTCAGTCATTGGAATCCTAGAATTCAACCTCTTTGGCATCCCCTATGTAAGTTCAGTGTCCTTCAGGCAGTTGCTGGCTCAGGCACAATATCACTTTAAATTAATTCAAATGTTTTCTGAAATCAGCTGCTTGAGATGGCCAGCAGTAACGGCCTCCACAGCATAAGGAACTGCAGATTAAAAAAAGCTAAATGTCATCAATCTTGGATGGCTGAAGAGAAACAAAAATAGCACTGCTAGATTCAGATTAAATCACCGCATGCCATCCAAACCCGATCTCTTTATATTATGTATTCTATCATTGAGGTCCCTACCCATATTTCTGGTTTTGCAAGCTAGGCTAGAGAATCTGTAGAATTATTGAAATACAGTCAAATCTTCTACAGTGATGTTAATGCTCCAGGGGCCAGTACAATCTCAGTCCTGGAAAAATTCCTATCACTATGGAGCATTCTTATAAAGTCATCAGAAATAGGTATCTCTTCCTAAAAAGTATTTTAATTACCAAGCTTCTGTAGTTTCTAATTTTTGGGCCTCAGTTGCAATCACAAACACTTATCCAATGATTTAATATTTTTCTTTAGATCGGCGCAGATATCTGTGGGTTTAACTATAACACTACTTATGAACTCTGCTTGCGCTGGATGCAGCTTGGCTCTTTCTATCCATTTTCCAGAAACCACAATGCAGAGGGAAATCACGTAAGTAAAACAAGTTACACAAAGCTGTAGTCTATGATTACAGTAACGGCGATGGTGATTTGTATTACTTTCTCAGAAATTAACCTGCCATTCTCGGGTAAACTGGAGCTGAGGGAGAAAAGGAGTGCTGCACTGACAGCAGGAGTTACATGGTGAAGTGTATATTTTTCCCATCCATAATGTAAAGATGACATAGAAATGCTGAAAAATATGTAGTGTCTAACAACTGAAGGGCATGCAGAAATGTGTACCACGTACTTTGATTGACAGGAAACAGTCTTCCCACGCTGTTGGTAAGATTCATCCCCTCCATCATTTACCTACTGAAGCCCAGGTTTTATTTAAGAGCCAGTGAGTGTCAGCACATCTTCCTACTCCCTTGTTTACTTCAATTTTTGTATCAGTACTTCTTTAACTGTAATAGGTATTACAGGAAGGGGAGAGAGGGTATTATACACCATCCTTGCTGTTTAAAAGGCTGTTTTGGACAAACACCGCAGATAGAGACTCCGGACAAACATGTGAGAACTCCAAGGAGAACCAGTGATAGCGACAGCATTATCAGCCAAGAAGCAACAAAGGCTAAAAAAAGGCAATGAGCTGATGAGAAGGATGAAAAAGTGCAGTCTCAGTCCAGACCCATGCTCTGGCTTTGACTTATCATAAAGTCCTTTCAAAGCTTGTCATAGATAAAAAGAAGTATCAGGTTGTTTCTAACTATGCACAGTTTGAAGGTCTTGCAGCCTTTGTGGATGCACTGTGTTTATCTGCAACCACAGTGAAATTGTTCTGCTAGTTCAGTAAATTTTTTTTTTTTTTTTTTTTTTTCTTCTGTAAAGTGATCGAGCAACACTGGAGCCCAGGTTATTACCTAACCTTCAGTTTTCTTTGACGTTGCATCACCAAAAAGTTGCAGCATTTATACCCCAGAAAGACCTCTGTCTCTGCATTAAATTATGATGGACATTCAGCAACTGGGCAAATGCAGGAGTAATAAGATATAGTGCTATCATTAAGAGAGTCAGGAATTATCCTGTAGATGCCTGAGATATGCTGAGATTTTTCTCTCTAGGAGTGCAAATGCTTGTGAGGTGTTAACTGCTGCTGTTGATAAATATTTTCTATTTACCCCTCCACTAAAATTCGAGGTACCTTATCTATATGTTTGCTTGGCCTTTTGAGCACGTGAACTGGGTCTGACCTGGGTGAGTGGGTATTAATCACGTGTGCACAATTTAATAAGCAGGAAAAGAGCGATGGGTCTGTGTCATGGGAGCTGCAACTCAGTGTTGAGGGAATGTCAGAAGTAACAGAAGATATATTTGGTTTTACTGGATTACTTAAATCCATTTAAAACATTGTGTTCACTGAAAGAAATGAACAAGGCATTTTGGGTGACTCAGCATCACCTAAGAAGTCTGACTGGTTTTTGTGCACTTAGGCAATATTTGTACAGTGTCAGAATACTGGTAAAAATATAGTGCAATTTTTGAAATAATAGACGGATGCTCTGGAGCTCAGAGCCAGCAGGAAATATTATCAGTGACTAATTCTGATGTAAACATAATAATGGAGAAATTTAACTTAAATATGGAGTTTAAATAATATTAAACTAGTGTTAAAATAAAATCTTAAATATCCATTTTGCCTAATCCATTGGGGATTTCAAATTGTTTAATTAATACTTTTCTTGTCTGAAAAGCACTAGGTAATATAAAAAGCTTTGTTACTTCTGTTCCTTTTATGTTTCATTATCCTTGGAATTCATCATACATTCTTCAGTTTTAATGAGAAAACTGAGTATTATGGGAAAACTTTGTGAAGGAGGAAGGGAGCCATGTGACTCATTAGCTAGCTCAGTTTGGTGCTGGAGAAGGTTGGACAGGAGGAATTAAAGGACATGTAACTCTTTCCTGTATCAGCACCGCCCCAGGCTGCATGCTCCGCATCCCATCACAGGGGATAGTCCTAAAATGGCGGGCACAGGAGGAGAAATCAAGTTTCTTTGTATGGATGAAATATTTTCCCCACCACACACAGTGACTTTGATCACTCCTGTTGGCTTCAGCAGGGCCATGAATTTACTCTTGCTTTTAAATAGATTTGCCTTTACGTTCTTGGCCAACATAATTATGCTTTTGCCTTTGTTTTGCAGATTATCAGTCTTCCCTTTTTCCTGTGTTTCACCTTCTGTGTCACAGAGGACTTGCATCTCCAGGATAAATTAATTTCTAGAGACAGTGTGTCTGTTCCTGAGCACAGACATGAATCCCCAGCTCCTCTCCCATCACCAGGTTAGGGGCAGTTGCACATGGCTCACATACACCGCGATGGGGCCTGATCTCTCTAAACTCACTGGAATTTTTAAAGCTGAAAAAATTTATACAAATATTAGTTTGGTGCTAATGGATGTTGTTCTCAATACACCTTCCAGTTTGCAAATCAGTGTTTCTTATTTAAACATTCACTTTCGTAGCATTATGTCAGCCACAGCTCTCCTTAGGTTGCACGCAGGTTCTCCGTTGAATTTGCAGTCCCTAGTTATAATGCTCAGTACAAATCAAAACTTTTCCTTAACAGGAACAAGACCCAGCGGTGTTTGGAGAAGAGTTTGCCAAGATTTCCCGTGCTACGCTTCGGATCAGATACTCACTGCTGCCATACTTATACACCTTGTTCTTTGAGTCTCATGTTCATGGAAACACGGTGGTACGGTCCCTGATGCACGAGTGAGTTTGGAGTCTCTCTTTTTTATCATATTTTACTCACAAAAGTAGTTCAGTTTCTATGTATAAACTAGTTGATATATGTTTGAGAATAGTCACAGTAATACTACTGCATACTCCCTCTTAAAAAAAACCCAACAGTTTTACAATGAAATCTAATCAAGTTATATGCACCAAAATAACTCTTAATATATGCAATGGATATTCATTAAAATATAGCCTGTATTTTTTTTCAGTGAAGAAAAAACTAAGGAAGGAGAATTCTGAAAATGTCTTGTGTTAGACAAATATGCAGTTATTTTTTATTTTAAAAATAGGAATCACACACCTGTATTTTCTGTATTTGAATGAAAACTATGAAATCTGTATTCTGGTCCAGAATGCCAAGCAGGCCTCATACAGAGAAGTCTCCATTTTCCAATCATCCACAGAATTTGCATTTTCCAATTTAGCACTTGCATCTGCATGCTGTGTATGAAACCTACATCTGTGACCACAATTTGTACAGAGAAAACAGAGATAGAGATGTTTGAGTGTAGAAGCAGGTGCAAAACTGCGATCAATAAATACAGACAAAAACCCCTTGGAAAATGTAACCTCAGATTTTTAGAACAACTCATTTTTTCTGTTTGGAAGAAGCAGAAATCTGAGTGAGATTTACTTTCCCTCTCAGCATCTTTTAATTAGTTTTTTACCTGCTTTTGGTAAATTTTCTACTTCAGAATAGTTTATGCAAAGACTTGAGCAAAAGGAGTGGAAATAATACATACGAAAGACTATTGCTCAAAGCTCTGACACAATTTAGTCTCATTGGTGCAGTCTATGTCCTGGACTGTTTAATGTTATTTTTCTCTTTGCATTAAAAACATTTTGGTTAAAGGGTAAGGCATTTTTTGCAAATTAAACTGAGGTTGCACTAAAGTGCAGACCATTCAAGTTTGGAATGGCACAAAACCCATTTTGCCTACCCAGTGTAATGGCTAACTGATAAATTTTAGAAGCATTATCCTTCAACTTCCTACCATATTTAACTGGTTTACATTAAGGGGAGGTTTTATAAGTACTAATGTCTTAGATAGGACTCTATGTTGTTTCAAGTATTTATTTTAGCTCTATTTTTGCTTAATGAGATTTATGTTAATATTGGAAATGGCCGAGTTAATTCTGGCATTAATATTAGCTAATCTCTGCTAATATAGAATTGCTTCATTGATGTTAAAGCTGCCTTTCTGACCATTCCCACCATACTTGTACTCTATTTGGGACACATCTACATTAGCAAATTTCCAGATTCACTTTGATTTGAATTGTAGAGCAGTCTCAGGTGCACTGGCTGAGACTTCCATCAGGTGAAACTGAACCAAAAGGTGCACCTCAGCCATTGATGGGAGTTTATTCAGTGGGACCAGACTGGGATTATTAGGAAATAAAACCTCTAAAAATGCACGTAGAGAGTGTAGACATCAGGAGATCGGCATAAACTGTTTCACTACGCAGGTCCCATCCTAGTGGACATTTCACTTGCTAATGTTGCCATAGCTGGATTCTAAAATGGCTTAAAAATATTTTTCACTATTATTAGTTAATTCTGAATGCTATTGTTACTTAATGAGTATTTCTTACTATTTCTAATTAATATTAATTGGTTCAGTGGGTCTGCTCAAGTAGAGAAAGTGACCCAGATGCAAAAGGGGAGAAATGTGGGTTTCAGAGAGAGAGAGAACTGGAACAGAATTTTTGATATACAGATGATGGAATTTTACATCAAACCTTTCCCTTACTGGTAAAAACTACAAAGGAGACCTAAACAACTGCACTAGTTTTTCAGGTGGAGCTGTTATGAGTTCACAAGCCTCACTGTGAAAATAACTCTGCCTGGGCAGGGAGTCTCCAGGCAATAGCTATTTCATATGGTCATTTCAGATTTTTCATTTCATTTCAAATATTTAGGTGCTCATTTCAAATAACAAACAAGAAGGACATCCCAGGAGATTCCTATAGGCATTTTAGGTGCCTCTGAGACTTCACTCAGTGAAACAAAGGTGCCAGTAGCTCAGCTGTCCAAAAAGACCAGGAGGTGGTAATCCACCACTGGAAGGGAAAGCCCCGCTTAATGGCTAAACAGGGGAAAAGTAAGACAAAAGAGAGGCCGGTACCTAACCATAGTAAGCATGTAGATGGAATTAAGTACTTTTCGTAGATCACAGATGTGGATTAATGGCTTATATTTTCAAAATGGGAAAGTTCATCTGTTTGCTGAATTTGTGCTCATGGTTGCTATAATTGCAAGAGGAAATAGTGCTGAGTTAGATGATGAGATGCTTGTTTCCATGTAAGATGTAAGATGGACTTCTCTTTTGTCATAATTTCTTGATCAGCTTTTTCTCCTGAAATCTTCCACAACACAGTATATTGAATCAGTATTATAATTTTATTACAGCAAAATAAAAATACAGAGAAGCTATTGAGGTTTACAAGAAAAATCAATGTTTTGTATTTCAAAAGCTTTAAGACAAGGTAATTAATCAAAAACTCCACCCCACTTTAAAAATTTACAAAGCATTATGACAAAATGCAATAATGGCCAAGATTAAAGTGTCCAAAAAAGCTGCTGTTTTTGACAGAAAAAGAAACTGAATAAATTGAGGTTTCTTTCAGGCAGAGCCCGAGGCGTGCCTTCAAGAACATTTTTTCCTAAGTTCCCTAAACTTGCAATATTTTAGAACTCTGAGCACTGAATAGATATCTTTTTATTGCCAAGGTGTTTTTGCTCATTTGATGTAATTTCTGCGAGTCTGGGCTGGGTGCAGTGTGTTCCTGTGCAGGCAGGGTGTCACAGCAGGACACCGACACTGAGCCACTCTGCTCCGGCCAGTGTAGGACAGAAACCTGCTTTTAGACAGGGGCAGCTGCAAAGTCAGTTAAACAGACAGTAACTAAATTTTTAAACAAATAATTTGTACATCCTTAGAGAACAATACATTAATATACATCAGCCAATGTGAATTTGTCAAAAACGAATGGTGATAAACCAGCCTAGCTGCTGTCTTTGACAAGGCAGCAGGGCTGTTGGAGAGGAAAGGGGGCAGAGGAGCAGGAGAAAGCAGGAGGTACAAGGTGCCTCGATTTTAGGAGGTCTTGGGACACACTTCACATTACATTCTTATAAGCTAACTGGGGAACAAGGATCCATTATGAATTTCCTGAGGGATAAGCTTGCAAATGATTGAAAGCCTATTTAAATTCTCAGGGATTTTATGCCAGATGAATGGAGGTTCCTGAGATGGGGATGATCTCTCCTCTTTGCCAGCTGCTATTCAATATTTTCATTAGCTGATGCATGGTGGAGTAGAGATCTCTTCTCAGCTGGCAGATGATGCCAGGCAAATGGGACTGTAAGCACTCTGGAGGACATTATCAGAATCCAAAATTATTTTAATGCATTGAATAAAAATGGATTGAATTCCATAAGTTTTCATCCATTCAGGAAAGGCAGCTAAAAAGCACAATATGTATGAATGTTGCTTTGTGTTTGTCCTGCAAAAGATTTCTAATATAGATCTGTGAAAGGTGCAGGAAGCCAAATCCAAGTATTTTCACAAATGTTGTAGATCCTAGAGCACAGTGTTATTCCTCTGTGTTCCCTCTCCTGGCCCTGGCCCCTATCCTGCTCTTTGGCTTCCTCAACGAAGTCTCAACCCACTGGACAGAAATTAAATTAGTTGTTTTCCCACCACTGCTATTCTGAAAATAAATCAGCTCCAGCATTTTGTTAGGATTCTTGTCTGCTCCAGCATGGCAGGTGCTACTGTAATTTCTGAACTTCAGTCCAGCTTTTGTCATTCCCTCAACCAGGAAAAATATTTGGTGGCATTGAAGGATGTCTGGAGGAAGAAGATTTTTTTTACCCAATAAGTAATATCAAAATATTCTGCAAGTTCTGAAAAAATGTGAAATAACATTGCATATCTCACTTTCAACACTAGATTTACCTCTGATCAGCAGACTCACGGAATAGATACTGCCTTCCTTTGGGGACCTGCTTTTATGATTGCTCCTGTTCTTCAAGAGGCAAGTACTGTAATTAAAAAAAGCCATCATCCTGGAATAAAAGAAATGAACTGCACTTAGGGCACTGGATGACATTCGGGGCATATTTGTTCATCTTCCCTCCACTGTCAAAGCTTGCAGAGCACATTTCTGAGCAACACAGATGGTACTGAACTGCCCAGTGCTTGAAGTGGGAGGATGAAAGTGAGGGCACGGCTTTCTCCTGCTACTTCAAGCATCAAAATGGATGTAAACAAGCTGGATGCTGCCCCTTGTGTGCTCCTGTTACTGTGCTGACAGCTCCCTCCAAGGACACACACAGAGCAGTAATTGTCGAGTTAGGAAGAAACATGCAGATATTAAAGCAGACTGGTTTCTCTATCACCACTCACCCACAGTGTTTTGGAACTGCAGCATCTCAAGGGCTGGGTTAGGAGTTTCCCAGCATCGCAGGCAAACACAGTCATTACAGAAACAGTAATGACAATGTTAGCTGCTAATATAACAGGTTTTAAAAGGTAGCATTTTCCTATGGCTGGGCTGGGCATGGTGCTGGGGTCAGGGCTCTCACTGCTCATCTGGAGTGAGGGTGGGTTTCTCTCCTTGCTCCATCACTGACTGCTGACAGCTCCAGAAAGGTATACCTGAGAAGAGCTGAATATTTACATGTGATATATCCTAGAGCTTCTGCGATCACCATGCTAACAGAATATCTGATACATTTTATAGACATTGCTTATGATCAAACATATAAACAGGTCACTGTTAGTCACCTTTCTTTAGCCAGCCCTTGTGCCTCTGTGAATTTAAAAGGAAATTCTTATTCCTGCATCTAAAACCATTCTGACTCCACCGAGGCACTTCATTCGTCAGTTCTTCATCTTCAGACTCCCCCGGGTTTCTAATAGCTGATGACTAACAAGTAGAATTCACAGGGTCTCAAACCAGCAAGATGATGAAAGATGTGAGAGAAACCTTCCCACAAAGAGAGGGTGACAAGCCAGGGGTGGCTTCCTGCAAAGAAGTGGATGAAAGGGAATATTATAAGGATATATAAAATGATAGGGGGTCTAGATAAGCGGTTCCTAATATTTTTTGGTGGACTGCAGCACAAAGGAAGGCCAGGTGCCTGCGGCCTGATGGGGGAAGCAGAACTTTGGAGGCAACACATTGCTGGGTCTTGAGGTGGGAGAGAGATGGCAGCCAGGACTTGTGCCAGTTAGCAGGACCTGGGGTAGAGGTGAGCTGTAAGACCCTCACCGTGACATTGCAGGCCAGCAGCTACCCTGTCAAACTACAGCATGGCACCTACTTGTCTAGAGAAGATGGGTCAGGGTCAGTTTTCCCTTTGGGTCAGGGACAGCTCTCCCTTCACTCCTTGAGTCCTGGAGTGTGAGCAAGTGAGATATCCATCAAAATTAAAACAGGGCACTGCCTTATGTATTGGCTTGTTGTTTAGGGAGTCAGGAAGGCAAGGCTCATCATGATCCAGGTGGTGGTTACACACTTCTCTGCAGACCAGAATATCCAGGATTGTCATAATAATGTAGAGAAAAGATGGAGAGAGGGGCATCTTCACTTTATACGGTTTTTCCTTCAAGTTTTCGAGATGCTTTATAAATTAAGCCAACCTTTTATTGTTAAACAGTTAGTAAGATCTAAACAGAGTAAACTACCCCAACCTTACTTACTGCAACACTAGGACACTTTGCCTGAAACACCTATCACTGCCCACTGTGGGGGACAGGCCACAAGACAAGGCAAATTTCCAGTTTAGCAATTCTTGCATTCTAATGTGAGATTTGTATACTTGAATAAATCAGTTATTTCTTACTCCTTCTATTTGTTTATACCTATACCTAAATCTGTCTATATAAATATATATA